TGGGGGGATTTGGGGAGATTTGGGACACTGGGGACATCAGGGACATTGGAGATTTGGGGGACATTGGGGGGATTTGGGACATTTGGGGACATTGGGAAAATCGGGGAAATCGGGAGGACTTGGAATATTGGGGGGCTTGGGGACATTGGGGACATTTTGGGGACATTTTGGGGACATTTTGGGGACATCTGGGGATTTGGGGGACATTGGGGACATTGAGGGGATTTTGGGGGGCTTGAGGACATTGGGGAGATTTTGGGGACATTGAGGGGACATTGGGGACATTGGGGAACTTTGGGGACACTGGGGACATTGAGGGGATTTGGGGACGCGGTGACAATTTGGGGACACCAATGACAATTTGGTGACATTTGTGACAATTTGGTGACACCAATGACAATCTGGGGACACCAATGACAATTTGGGGACACCAATGACAATTTGGGGACACTCTGGTGACATTTGGGGTCCCAGGGCCGCGAGGGGACCTTGCCCGCCCTGCAGCTGGTGGCCATGCTGCGCGGCATCGCCGCCGGCATGCGCTACCTGGGGATTTGGGGACATTTGTGACAATTTGGTGACACCAATGACAATTTGGGGACATTTGTGACAATTTGGGGATATCACAGACAATTTGGTGACATTTGTGACAATTTGGGGACACCAATGACAATTTGGGGACACCAATGACAATTTGGGGATATCAATGACAATTTGGGGACACCAATGACAATTTGGTGACACCAATGACAATTTGGGGATATCACTGACAATTTGGGGATATCAATGACAATTTGGTGACATTTGTGACAATTTGGGGACACCAATGACAATTTGGGGACACCAATGACAATTTGGGGACAGCAATGACAATTTGGGGACACCAATGACAATTTGGGGATATCACTGACAATCTGGGGACACCAATGACAATTTGAGGACACCAATGACAATTTGGTGACACCAATGACAATTTGGTGACACCAATGACAATTTGGGGACACTCTGGTGACATTTCGTGTCCCAGGGCCGCGAGGGGACCCTGCCCGCCCTGCAGCTGGTGGCCATGCTGCGCGGCATCGCCGCCGGCACGCGCTACCTGGGGATTTGGGGACATTTGTGACAATTTGGGGACATTTGTGACAATTTGGGGACACCAATGACAATTTGGGGATATCACTGACAATTTGGTGACACCAATGACAATTTGGGGACACCAATGACAATTTGGGGACATTTGTGACAATTTCGGGACATTTGTGACAATTTGGGGATATCACTGACAATTTGGGGACATTTGTGACAATTTTGGGACACCAAAGACAATTTGGTGACATTTGTGACAATTTGGGGACACTCTGGTGACAATTTGGTGACACCAATGACAATTTGGGGACATTTGTGACAATTTGGGGATATCACTGACAATTTGGGGACACTCTGGTGACATTTTGGGGACACCAATGACAATTTGGGGACACCAATGACAATTTGGTGACACCAATGACAATTTGGTGACATTTGTGACAATTTGGTGACATTTGTGACAATTTGGGGACACCCTGGTGACATTTGGGGACCCAGGGCCGCGAGGGGACCCTGCCCGCCCTGCAGCTGGTGGCCATGCTGCGCGGCATCGCCGCCGGCATGCGCTACCTGGGGATTTGGGGACATTTGTGACAATTTGGGGACATTTGTGACAATTTGAGGATATCACTGACAATTTGGGGACACTCTGGTGACAATTCGGGTCCCAGGGCCGCGAGGGGACCCTGCCCGCCC